AAAACAAGAAACTATGCTTCTAACCACAGCTGGAGATCTGTCGTTTCAACCACACAAGTTTCCGATGTAGTTTGTGAATGTTCGTTTGAACGATGGTTTCGGGAAACACCAAATCGTTGAACTACGTTAATAATGACGGAACTTGCGATGTTAGTTGGCTAACGATGCTATTGGTAAAAAATCGGATCTTGTGCAGATTTTTTGTGTTTACACGTGTGCAACAAATTCCAATCTGTGTCAGATATGAGCGAAAGATCGGATTTTTTTGTGCCAGTGTAAACGCAGCCTGAGAGACCATTTTGAAGGCTCAGGAAACCTGGCCGTGCTTTTAAAATTATTTATATAATTCACGTCGAATGGCCATTATTATTTGCCAGGATGGACAACGGCTGTCATGGATGTTTTGCAGCACAAAATCTGAACGAGTTTCACATGAACTTTTCCACGACATTCTAATTTATTGAGATGCACCTGTATATATATATATATATATATATATATATATATTGCTGTTGTAATATTTCAATGTTTAAAAAAATATATATTTTAGACTTTAAGTTATAATATAATATATTACATGAAGTAGGTTGCCATATCTAAGTAACCCCTCTTTATTGTCTGAGAATGGAACATTTATACAATGATGTCAGAAACATTACTTTTTTTTTTTTCTTTTTTTTTATATAAACATGTCTCAATGTAAGATTAAGATTGCAAGAACAGTATTAATGTGACATTTACACAAATACATTTCTTACCAAAGTGTACAAATCACACAGGAAGTAGCTAAGATTATATGTAACTGAGTGCTAACCACTGAGGGATGTTTTAGACTGTTAGTGAGAAAGCAGAGGTTTTATCAGAAGTTTGTCTTCAGTGTGTGCATGAGTCACAGAGAACGGGTACACTGGTACAGCCTACTTGAGCTATAAAAGACACCGTCTAGTTAATGGTAGGGTTGTTTAAGGGCTGGTGCACCACACACTCATGTTTCCAACAGGTGTCATCATTCTCATTTCCATTGTACTCCTTCACTGTCACCATCATGCACAAATATACACCTACAAATACATGGGTTTTAGACACGCTTCTGGTTGCTGCTGTAAATTGTACTTTGATTCTTTTCCCCATCATGTGGCATTTGAAGTGGCACCTCACAACTCTTTTTTTCACTTTGCTGGCTGAAATGGACCTTCAGTAAGACATCTGTTATGGATTGTTTTGTCTCCGTGATAAAACTGCTTTCTCCTCGCTCTGGTGTGTCTAATGCAGGTCAGTAACCGGTCTGGACAAGGAGTTAGATCTGGTGCACATGGAGGCCCACACTGATGGCCGTGAGTTGCTTCTTTCTGTCTCTGTCTGTATTCTCCGACACTGTCTAGCAGCCTAGTGGTAGGAAATAATATTAATAACAGCCACTCAAATCTTTTAATTATTTTATTTTATTTTATTTTATTTTATTTATTCTTAAACATATTTGATTTAATTTTGCTGACTTTGTTAATATTATAAGTGAGTATTGTATAATTTTATCTATAATTCAAATTCATTAATCAAAAGGACAACAAATAAAAAGTTATATTATATTATATTATATTATAAAAAGTTATATTATATTATATTATATTATATTATATTATATTATATTATATTATATTATATTATATTAGCAAAAATAAATCATTCAAAACATTATATTTTTCCTAAATTTGGAGTATTATGAGTGAGTGATTTTATTATTCACTCAACAGATTAATTTGAAAAAATGCTGGCAGATCCTTGCTCATGCCTCACTCACTCTGATTCATTTGAAAAAAGAAAGAGCCAGCAGATTCTTGCTGATGCCTCACTCATTCTGTTCGTTCTGAAAAAACATGTCCCAGTACTTTCACAAACTCTATTTTCGTTCAGTGTCACTCAGAGTCTCGTTCAGGCTCAAAACACTGACTAAGTGGCTCAGTGAAGAGGTATATTTCTTTAGTATGCTCGTCCATTCAAAGAAATGCTCCTTCACAGTATATACTAAGGTCATTTTGAATTCTCTTTTTTCCCACCTTCCTCTCACATCCCATCTACTGATCTATGGTACACTCCTACTTCAGTCCTGATGTTAGAGGAGGAAAAGAGATGAGAAGAGAAACCGTGAGCTTGGGAATGAGGATAAAACCAGTCCTGCGGGCAGCTAGACAGGATTACCATAATGATAAACACACCATCTGATAGCAGATTAATACAGGACCTGGAATCTCTCTGCCTTAGTTTCTCTCACTAGTTAAAGGCATAGTCCATTGAAAAATGAAAATTATGTCATTGTTTACTCACCATTATTTGGAAAAGAAAAGAAAAAATCAATCCCAATACTTTTTACATACAACAGTAGTTCATAGTAACCAAGCTTCCAAAAACCAAAATTCTCTTTATGTGTTCAGTAGGGGGGGAAATGGTTGACAGGGGTGAGTTTCAGTTGTTTGAATGAACTTTCCATTTAATACTGGATACATAATTCTGAGTCTTCCATCTAATGTTCCTTAAAGCTGATACATCCTTAGAGATTCTGAGAAGCAGTCAGAGGTTGTTGGACTCAATGCCCCCATAATCAGAATCTAATTAACATCTAGAATCCTCTTTCTGTCTCTCCTTACAACAGATTGTCAGTATGTGACATGCAGAGCTCAAGCCTGCTCTGAATCCAGTAGGACATATCCATTTTCTGGCTATATTGAGACCAACTCACTTGTGGTTCAAGATGAATATGTGTTTGTTCAGGTAAGAACCAGAGATCACTTACTTTAAAGAAACAAGTCAAATGGCATCATTTAATTGTTTTTGGAATTATATAATGACATCTACAGTTAATTAAAGTCAAACAGCGTGGCTGAAATAAAAAGTACAATGATAACAGTGTAACCCTTTGCCATTAGTCTTTGCGATAAGGACTTCCTAGAACAACAGATCTGTTGGGATTTCTCAGTGTTCCCACTGCAAAATGCTCTGTTATTCCCATTGCCACTCACTTATACATTGTGAAATGTGGAACACAGTGTGATATATATATAGTGCATATCAGTGGCGAGCGGTGACTTTTTTAACCGGGCATGCTGAGTGATAAGGCCCCCTCCCACCCCATCGGCTTTTAGGACACTCAAAAGGGATCACATATGACAAATAGCTAAGAAACACCGTGGCAGGTGTCGATTTAAAAGTATGCACATTTCCTACCTTACTTGTAAATGAAATTCTTCTCCAATCCAATCCTATTGTTTCAAGTTTATCCATTATTCTAATGATCAGAGGGTGGGGAGATGGGGGGATTCCCCTGGTCTATATGTCTCCGCATCTGCTAAATTATTTTTTTTATTCCCAGTGAATAGGAGTTAAAACTCCCACCTGGGTGACACTACTCCAATAACAGACCATGCAAAATACCTAAAAGTATTTAAAATATTGCAAAGTAACGTTGCAACCTTGCAAGCAATAATAAAATCAGAGAAGGACTTTAACTGTAAGTGACACAAGCATACGCAAAACAAAGAGAACAATATGATGTTTGTTATTATTAATTTTATATAGCCCACGTTTTCATAAAAGTTTTTTTTATTTACCGCTTAGACAATAATGTTGACAATAACGTATATCTTCAACATACATTGTCTATGACCAAAAATGTAAGAAGATATGTTTTCAGTGGACTTTTAAAATTTGCTTTGCTTGAGAAAACAAAAATATACAGTTACAGTGTTTTTTTTCTTTTGATTTAGTCGAGTTGGTTTTGCATCAAACACAATATGATTTTTGGCAATCGAGATCTGACAGCAACAGCAAATTTTTCTGCTTGGGCGAGCGCTTTGTGGGCAGCTTACCTTGCTCATTAAATCATCCGCAGGCCAGCAAATCACTGAGAACGTGCTTAAAATCCTGACGAGTAGCAACAGAGCGGAGGCGAGAAAGCTGCGGAGAATCCGCTCGCCCAGAAGCAACCGCAACTGGTAGATTTAAAGAAAATTAAATTTGCCGATTGGCAAACAAATCATTATACGTACTTATTCCAAACTCTTTAACTTATAACTTATAATCATGTTTATATGAATTATCCCGTGAACTTATTCTCTAAAATGGCCTGGGTATGTGGAGCATTCGCAGCTTATATGGACGGAACGCCACTGGTGCATATATAGACTGTAACAAGTGGGTTTCAAAACTTGCCATATGCATTACTTGATTAAACTATCTAACTATAACAAGGCCCTCTGTCTTCACTCCCATGGCGTTACTGCTCATTTGCAAGAAGTTGAACTCTGCTTACCTTTGCCACATCGTCAACGTTTATATCGCTTCAGATCTCCCAATTTCATTGAAAATGAATGACTTCTGCTTACTTTGGGCTGCAGATCATTGTCAGTTTGAATCAGAGCATGTGAGTGAAGCGGAGCGGTGTGACGCTCCGATACGTTTTCCGCTCTATGGAAGTGCGCTCCACTCAGTCGCTCTAACCGCCCAAGCAAGCGCTCCGTTAATATTCCGCTCACGCTCGCCGTACACCAATTCCCGCTCAGATCTCGCTCTGACATAAAATTTCTCTAGTAGGCCTAATTGTTTACTGTTTGTACCGAAATTCTTGGCGGTGCTGAGCGTATTGAGCGAGCGGAGCGGAATCTTCAGAAAGGCGCTCTGCGCTCTCAAGGAAATATTACCGCTCCGCTCACATGCTCTGGTTTGAATATACCTTAAAGAAATAGTTCACCCAAAAATGAACATTCTGTCATCATTTCTTCACCCTCATGTCATTCCCAGCCAAAAACCAAAGTTTCCTTAACGTTCAGGCAAAGATTGTGTGCGTAAATATGTATGTGTTCATGTGTCATTTTCAACTCCCTAGTGGGTCATAAGGCAAGGCAAGGCAATTTATTTCTAAAGCACGATTAAAAACAACAATAAGTTGACCAATGTGCTGTACGGATTCTAAAAAACATAGATAAGCAGACAATATATACACATCACTTACACTGCACAGAGCATACATTCAACATAAAACAACATTCAACAGTCCAACAACATGTCACTGAGCAGCATTTTGCAAAAAAAAAGACTGGGAGAATAAATGAGTCTTTAAAAGGGACTTAAATGACACCAAAGTGGAGGCTGTTCTTATGTGTAAAGGCAAACTGTTCCAAAGCCTCGGGGCCAATACTGCAAAAACACGGTCCCCCCACAGTTTGCGTCTCGACCTAGGAACAATCAAGAGTTTTTGGTCAGAGGACCTCTGAGATCTTGATGGAGAGTACGGTTGCAACAAATCTGAAATATAAGATGGTGCAAGGCTGTTTAATGATTTAAAAACAAACAGCAAGATTTTAAAATCAATTCTAAAACGGACCGACAACCAATGTAAAGATGACAAAATTCGAGTGATATGGTCCCGTTTCCGAGAACCTGCTATCAACCTTGCAGCGGCATTCTGGACAAACTGTAGTCGTGACAGGGTGGACTGACTAATCCCTACATACAGTGAATTACAGTAGTCCAGACGAGAAGACACAAAAGCATGCATCACTCTTTCAAAATCACAAAAGGATAAAAACGGCTTAATCTTTGCCAGTGTTCTTAGTTGAAAAAAGCCAGATCGAACAAAACCATTGATCTGTTTATCAAATTTCAAGGCATCATCAAAAATTACACCTACATTTTTTTACCATGGATTTACCGAAGATAGATAAAGGGCCTAAATCAATATTAATAGACCCAGATGCATTGGAGAGTGCAAAAACAATAGTCTTAGTTTTCCTTTTATTTAGGTGGAGAAAATTCACAGCCAACCATGTTTTCAAGTCCTTTAAGCATGCAAGAAGAGCTTCTAAAAAGTTGCCTTCCTTTTTTACTGGTAAATTTACGTAAATCTGCGTATCATCAGCATAGCAATGAAACGATATACCATGTTTACTAAAAATAGATTCAGTCGGCAGCATATACAATGAAAACAAGATGGGTCCCAAAATGGATCCTTGCGGGATCCCACATGTAAGAGAGGCCGATGATGATGAAAATTTCCCCAGGGTAACTGAAAAGCTCCTATTGGTTAGATAGGTCTTAAACCAGTTTAATACAGTACCATGAATCCTTACCACCTGCTCAAGTCGAGCAATAAGAATTTCATGGTTTATGGTATCAAAAGCTGCACTAAGGTCAATTAACACCAAAATTGCAGTATCACCAGAGTCTACTGCTAGCAAAACATCATTGAGAACTTTCAAAAGTGCAGACTCTGTACTGTGATGCTCCCTAAACCCTGACTGGAAAACTTCAAATAAATAATTCTTATTCAAAAAAGACTGCAGTTGAATAAGGACTGCTTTCTCCAGCACCTTTGATAAAAAAGGCAGTTTTGAAATAGGCCTGTAATTTGCGTAATCCGTTGGATCCAATTTAGTATTTTTAATTAAAGGTTGTACTACAGCATGCTTGAAAGATGCAGGAACAGTCCCTGATACAAGGGAGCTATTTATTATTGATAAAATGCTAGGCCCAACTACATCAAAAGTTTCTTTGATCAGTCTTGATGGAACAACATCAAGAGGGGAATCTGATAGCTTCAATTGATCAACTATTTTAGCCAAGGTAGAAAGTTGAAGATGTTTGAACCGATAAAACACAGCAGGGAAACAAGAAGGAGCCGAGGGATCACTAGCTACAGGAGGTATTTGCGATCTAATATTTTCGATCTTTGACACAAAAAAAACCCTCATAAAATTCTCACAAGCCTCCACTGAAATCTCAGGCCCAATGCTTTTTGATGGATTAATAACAGAATTGATAGTATTAAACAATACTCTAGGTCTATGACAGTTATTTTCAATAATAGCAGAAAAGTACTTAGCCTTCGCTGCCTTAACTGCTTTTTGGTAGGAATGCAAAGAGTCCTGCAAAATTTCAAAAGACACCTGGAGCCTGTCCTTCCGCCATTTACGCTCTGCTCTTCTGCAAGTTTGTCTGAGAGCTCGTGCAGTATCATTAAACCAGGGCTCTACCTTAGTTTTTACACGTTTCACCTTCAAAGGTGCAATAGAGTCTAAAATATTTGAACAACCAGAGTTAAAAGAACACAGTACAGGCTCAGGATCCAGATATAATGGAGTCAAAAGTTTCTTTGATAAGTCTTGATGGAACAAAATCAAGAGGGGAATCTGATAGCTTCAATTGATCAACTATTTTAGCCAAGGTAGAAAGTTGAAGATGTTTAAACCGATAAAACACAGCAGGGCAACAAGAAGGAGCCGAGGGATCACTAGCTACAGGAGGTATTTGCGATCTAATATTTTCGATCTTTGACACAAAAAAAAACCTCATAAAATTCTCACAAGCCTCCACTGAAATCTCAGGCCCAATGCTTTTTGATGGATTAATAACATAATTGATAGTATTAAACAATACTCTAGGTCTATGACAGTTATTTTCAATAATAGCAGAAAAGTACTTAGCCTTCGCTGCCTTAACTGCTTTTTGGTAAAAATGCAAGGAGTCCCTCAAAATTTCAAAAGACACTTGGAGCCTGTCCTTCCACCATTTACGCTCTGCCCTTCTGCAAGTTTGTCTGAGAGCTCATGTGGTATCATTAAACCAGGGCTCTACCTTAGTTTTTACACGTTTAACCTTCATCATAAAGGTGCAATAGAATCTAAAATAGTTGAACAGCCAGAGTTGAAAGAACACAGTACAGGCTCGGGATCCCAATATAGTGGAGGATTTTCAAAGGTAGAAATATTATGATTATTCAAAAATGCCCTTGAAAACTCACTAATAACACTAGAGTTCAGCATACGACACAAACATTACAGTGGGTAAGATCTAAGAGACGGACATGGGAGAGAAACCCCAAAAATAACTGGATTGTGATCAGAAAAAGTTGCATCACAAATATTTTTCACATAGCCCAAAGAGATACCATAAGATAAAACTAAATCCAATGTATGTCCATATTCATGTGTAGGAACCTTTACAGACTGTTCAAGATTAAAAGAGTCAATAATTCAAAAAGTCTTTCACCAGGGGGTCAGCAGGACAGCACACATGAATATTAAAATCCCCCACAATTTAAAACTTATCAAATTCAAATAAAATATCCCCTAAGAGTTCAGAAAAATCATGGATGAAGTCTTTATTGAATTTGGGTGGCCGATAAACCAGCACACACAACACTGGCTTCACTAAATCCAATTTAAATTTTTGCAATTCAAAACTAGTGAAGTCTTCAAACTCTACAGGTCGACAGAGCAAGCTGTTTAAAAAAACTGAGGCTAGACCGCCCCTGCCCGAAACTCGCGGAGAGTTAATACATTTACAGTCCAAGGGAGCCAGGTCAGCAAAAGGACTTAGATCACCAGAGGATAGCCATGTCTCAGTCACAAATAAAACATCCAATGATTTTGAAGTAAAAAGATCCCTCAAAATAGACGTCTTATTGCAAAGCGATCTCGCATTAACCAGTGCCATTTTGATTAGCAAATTTGAGTCGCCTACCGACTGTGATGAACAACACAGCGGTTGAAGATTTTGGAGACACACACCCCCACCTTTACGGAGATACGCCATCCGATGTATAGGATGTTCTGCGAAGATTTCCAATGCAATCGGACGAATCCAAGCATATGCCGGCTCCAGAGAACGCTGATAAACTAATCGGTGATAGGCCCACTCGCCTTTGAAACCGTGGTGATTGAAGTCGGTCCTAGACGCCAACAGCAGTTTAGCCTTAAGTTTGACAGCAAGGCCGCCTCGTTTCCCATGTTTTCTTTGACGCTTTTTCGGCAAAAGAGGCCAGGGAAGCCGACACAGGGCCGGCGGCACCTCGGACAGGACTGGAGGAAGAAGTGAGCATGGTCTTCCACGTTCTTACTCTAACATAAAACACACTGTGGATATACAGTTTATCAATGTAAGACAATCATAAACCAAGACGGCAGTTGCGTTCTGGGCCAGAAGTGAGACAAACAAAATAAAAACAAATAAACCAGGTACCAGACGGCCAGCCATGCACACCGGCGCCATCTTTAGCTTAACTTAGCTTAAAGGGGTCATATGATGCTGCTAAAAAGAACATTATTT